ATCAACTCGACATTATCTTTATTGTCCCTTGATGGTCCTTTACAACCTACCTATAAATATGAAAGTCCAGGCACCTTTAAAGTAAGTTCATTCAACTCTCTTTCTCTCATTCTTACTTTCTTCCATCCTTACCCTTTTTGACTTATATGTCAGAGTACAAACGCAGGGAATACATTCTATTTTTTCTTCTAACTGCCTTTCTCTTCTATATTTCCAAGAATGCCTCAATATCTTAGCTTGGCACAAATAAATATCTTTAATAATAAATTTAGCAAAATCTTTTAAAATAACAATTAGTGAAGATAAGGAAAACATTGAAGATCCTAAAATTCTTGAAAGTTGAAACTAAAAAGCAAGTGGAAACATTGGCATTGCCATGCTAGGTTGTCTTTCTCGGAGATGAAAAAACAGGTAAGTGTTTTTAAGTCTTGATATTTTTTGGAATTAGTATCTTTATAAGTTATTTTGGGCATTCCAAAAAGGAACCCTGAATTAAGGGCAATCTTTTGTTCGATACTGAAAAATGGTCACAGCTGGAGATGATTTTTTTTTAATGTACAATTGATTGATATGTTTTCCTCTTTGAAACCGAAAATATTATGTTCATATTTATCTTCATTTAAGATTTGGTTTGAATTTCATCGCAATATCAATGTAATGAAATCTAAGGGGGTTTTGAAATGTAAGGGGGTTTTGGCTCTAATTATATTGCGGGATGTATTTGGATAGCATTTCGATTATACAGATGGGTCAGGATCTCCTTTGTCTTTCTAATTTTCAACTGAAAAAAATTGACAATAAATTTTCTTAGTGAAAAATTAATAATAAAAGATATATTATTAATATGATTAATCAACTGTCATATTCAATTTCACCATAATTACGATATTTGTATTCAAACATATATCCTATCAACTTTTTTTGCCAAAATATTCAATTTCTTATGTTTAAGGTATAACTTTGATAATCACTAACTTTCAAAGTTAAGATAGTATATCTAAATCTCTATCTTTCAAGATTAAGATAAAAACCTCTAAGCTTGAAGTAAGTTTTAATCAAAACTCACCGAAATATTAAAAATGATACATCATTCTTTGATCCCAAATAAGTTTTAAGTGATTTTATAAATAAAAATATCTATCAAAGATTAAGTATTTGCTAATTTAATACTGTGAAAGACAAATAAAAACGATTAAAAATTAAATAAAAAATTTGAAAAATTAAAATACTAAACACTTGAAAACTCTTAAATTACTTAAAGAAATGAATTGAATGCTTTTGGGATGATGCCTCATGCCTTTAACCTTCTATGGTATCGGCAAAATCCCTTTATAGTTTTTTATAACTTAATTTTTCCATTATTTATTTTGCTATCCAAAAAATTTATATTTTATTTTTTAATTATTCAAACAATTATTCGATCTCCAATTTTTTGAAAAAAATAATAAAAATAACAACCAAATGACACCTCAAATTACAAAAAAAAAAAAAAAAAAACCTAACACAAATTTTTTTTGAAAATAAAAAAAAATAATTTGCATAGATAGATCAGGTCAGTCTAAGATATATTTGAGAAATTGACATGGCCTACCCTGATCCAGATAAATCGTAACCTAATTAATGCCATACTCTGTTTTTTGAAATAAAATTAATGCCATACTAAAATCCTATAAATCCATTTCAGGGCTTAATTATAACAGTTCATTATGATTTATGATATGCAGTGTGGCACCCAAATAGACAAAGTCTAGCCAGGCTTTTTCTTTAATTATAGATAGATATGATAATTAATGTATTTGATGGTATTTATTTTATGTAAAATATAAAATATAAAAAATTTTATTAAATTTATTTATAATTTTTATTATAAATTAAGACTAAAAAGATTTTTGTCTCCCACATAACTAATTTCTCTCTTCCTTAAATTAATTTCTTGGTTTTTGGAAAATCGCATTTTTCTTATTAATTTATCATCATAAATACCCAGATAGATTAAATCTTATGATAAACAAGCTGTCATGTTTAGCAAATCTATGCCCCAAAGAGAACAACAGAGCACGCCACACGTGAGCACGGTTTCTTTCAATTAAAAAAAAAAAAGAGAGATTCAGTTCTAAGCTTTGTGTTATTCTGTCTCTAACTCATAAATAATTACGACAAAAAAATAATTAATAAAGATAAGATGTTAGAGAAACCATTAGGCATGTCAATTTTTTGTTAGAAAAGTAGTTAGAAACTTACCATCAAAGAAGATATTGTTGCCTTCAAAATAATAATTTTATCATCTCATTGCTTATTTATAAATTATATTTTCTTTTATATGTTTGACCATGAAAAAATATTTTAATAAATTATTGCTATATATTTTTTAAAATTTGTTTAATGTTCGATAATCATTTTAAGTCTCAATTAATTGAAATCGAATCAGATTTAATTTTATAAGAAAAAAAATTTTTTTAATTTTTTTTTTCTATTTACAAAACTTCAAATCAAAATTTTATTTTAAAAAAATTAAAATTTTTATCACTGAAATTAACAAAAATTGATAAAATTATTGTCATAACTATTTAAAAACTAACATACTTAATCTTAATAATTAATTGCTATCACAATTTATTATTTTTGGTTCTTTTCGTATCTTTTGTCGTATTAATTAATTTCAGCAATGGACAATTCAACTTAAAACTCCTCCTATTTTTTAAGATATTTCTTATTATGTCAATTCAAGAATAAGATTGAGAATCCATATTTGATAAATTTCAAATGATAATTGTGAAGACATACACTCATTTTGAAAGGTATAGTTTATTTTAATACAAAAATTTTATAATTTTATTTTTAAAAATTTTATTAAAGTCTTTCATGTATATTATATTAAATTTTTTTTTATATAAATATAAAGGTATTTCTAAATTTTAAAAAGGAGGCATGCATCTTGTATGTGGTATAGAGAAGGGACACATGTAGGTTTCGATATTGTAAACTTTCGGTTACGTTAAAATCTTTTCCGTTTTAATTAGCATTAATTAAAACAATAATTTTAAGTTTTAAAAAGAAAATATGCAATTTATTTATTTTATAATAATAAGGCTAGGTTCAGTCCCTTTCGGCGGCTGTCCAGACTTTCATCACTTGATTTTGACATATTCCAATTACGGCGAAGCATGTACCAAAATTTCCAAGGGCGATATTTAGTGGAGTTTTTTAAGATGAATAAAAAAAATAATTTAAACAAAGTTTTGTTAACTTAAAATAAAAATATAATTAGAAATATTAAGATATATGTGCCTCAAATATATGCCCAAAGTCGTAAATAATACGTGTACTTCAATGCAAGATATATTTTGACTTTGAAATGAATTAATGACCCATTAATTAAAATTTTTGCCAAAAAAAATTATCCCATTTAAAAACTAAAATGCATTTAAAATGTTCAAATGTGTTATTTCATAAAACTACTAAAAATAAGGTGATAACATTAAAATATTTTGTGAGGAATAAGTTGAATGCAAATATATATATATATATATGTTTTGTCATGAGATGATGGATATTAAAAAAATAATGTGAAATGGTTTTGTTTTTAGATATATAAAAAAATTAATATTTAATTTAATTAATTTATATAATTAATATTTTTTAATAAATTTAAATTTTAAATTTGAGCATATCAATTAAGTTTTTTATTTTCAAATTATAATTTTTTTATAAAAATTAAATTTATTTTTTATATTAAAATTTTCATAAATTTTATTTTAAAATTTTTTTTATGTTTATCTTTTTATTTTAAGTCGAATAATAAAATAAGAGAGTTAAGTTTCAATAAAAATATTAATTTCATATTTTTTAATATTAAAAAATTCTTTTATTTTAATTACTTTAAACAAAATAGAGAGTTTTATCTTGATTTAGGAAGAAGTTGAAAATATTGAAAGATAAATTTCATAAAGACAAACTTTGTTTTCACAAAAGCATTTTCTAAGTTGAACTTAATCAAAACAAAAAAAAAAAAAAAAAAAACAAAACAAACTTCCAAATTTCTAAAGGGGATAATTTCGTCTTTTTCTAGAAGAATAACAGACGTCATCATCTGTCTCTTCTTTCTAGAAGAACGAAGACCAATGCACTCTTCACATTACGCGCCAACGAAGACCGGGCTTCGCCTTCCACGTGTACAACGACTCCAACTTTGTCCAATGTCGTTTTTCCACGTGGCAAAAAGCTCTCCTGTCATCTAAATACGATAATTTTAGACAACGACACGAAAAAGTAAGATAAATGTTTAAGTGATTCAGTTTTTAATTTTATTAAAATATTTAAAAAATTGTTAATTTTATTAAAAATAAAATTTTTATATTTTTATTATATTTAAATAAAATTTCATGCTTCCATTTATACTTATATAAGTTTTTATTCTTAAAAAAATTAATTTATATTAAAAATTAATTTAGATATAGATTAAAATTTAAGAATGTATTTAAATATAAAATAAAAATTAATGATTTATTTGGATATAATAAAAATATAAAAGTTTATTGAAACAAAATAATAACATTCAAATTTTTTTTATTATTTTAGCTTTTAAATTTTGACAAAATCAATACATATTTAACAAAAAAAAGTTTAATTTTTTATATTACTATAAATTATAATATAATAATTTTAATATTTTGTATATATTTTAATATAAAATAAATAACAGGCATATACGTAAATAATCAAATCTATCGTTAATTCGTTACCCCTTCGTTAACACGGGCAAAATCACAAAGTTAAGAAGTGCAAACCTCTTGTGGGCCCAATGGATAGTTTATTCCTGATCAACGGCCCTGATCTGCTGACAAAAAAAACTCCAGATTTTATTATAACCATACGTGTCCACTACGTGTCCACCGCGCGTAAAATTTTTATTTTTACCTGAAAATTAAAAAGATTTAAAAAAATTTAAACTTTGTTTAATCCCAATCTAATTAAAGCTAAAAAGAAGAATAGCTATCCTCGGTTTAGACCTTTCCTTTTCCAACCAACATAAAACGCGGTCCAAAAATCCCCGATAAATTGCCATCTACTTTCGTTAGGGTTTCTCCATATCCATCTTCATTTTTTCCTCGTCATCTAATTTCTCTCAAATTTCTCTCCCAAATATTGGATCCAATTGAAATCCAATTTTGATTTCTTTTTTTATAATTATTATTATTCGATGTGAGAATGCCGGCAACGGATTATCAAGGAAGTTCGGCAACGTTGACAAATATCGGCCGTTCGTTATTATCCCTGAGGAGGGATCAAGTACACGTGATGGAATCACCGAATGATGGATCGGCCTCGCACGAGGTGGAGCTCGAGTCGTTTCAGAGGCAAGTAGCTGACTGGTTTCACGATTTAGCTTCTGTTCCTTCTGATGAATTGCTTTCTCTTTCGTGGGTTCGGAAATTGCTCGACGTTTTCCTTTGTTGTCAAGAGGAGTTTCGGGTTATACTTTTTAACCACAAATATCAAGTGATGAGACCTCCCATGGACCGTTTGATTGCCGATTATTACGAGCGTACTGTTAAGGCGCTTGATGTTTGTAACGCGATTCGCGACGGAATTGAACGGATCAGGCAATGGCAGAAGCTTCTAGAAATCGTGCTTTGCGCTTTGGGTGATAGTAATGTTAATAATAATACGACTAATAAAGGTAATAATAATTGTTATCAGAGAACCCTAGGAGAAGGGCAATTTCGTCGAGCAAAAAAGGCGTTGATAGATTTAGCAATTGGGATGCTTGACGAGAAAGATTCCAGTCAAACCTTGGCTCATAGGAATCGTTCCTTTGGAAGAAACAATAATAGCAGCAGTCACTCCAAGGATCATCACCATCGTTCATTGGGTCATTTCAGGTCGTTGTCTTGGAGCGTTTCGAGGTCTTGGTCTGCTGCTAGGCAGCTCCAGGCAATTGGGAACAACTTGGCTGTGCCACGAGGGAATGAGGTTGTGGCTACCAATGGACTTGCAATGCCTGTTTACACAATGGGTTGTGTTTTGTTGTTTGTAATGTGGGCATTGGTGGCTGCAATTCCGTGTCAGGATCGTGGTTTGCAAGTTCATTTTTATGTGCCCAGGCAGTTTTCATGGGCGGCTTCAATACTTTCGTTGCACGAGAGGATTATGGAGGAGTCGAAGAAAAGGGATAGGAAAAATGCTTGTGGGTTGTTGAGGGAGATTTATCAGATGGAGAGGTGTTCGCGGTTATTGGGTGAATTGGCTGATTCTGTGCAGTTTCCGTTGAGCGGGGAGAAGGAAAGGGAGGTTCGGCAGAGAGTGAAGGAACTGGGGCAGGTTTGTGATGCAATGAAGGAAGGCTTAGAACCGCTGGAAAGGCAGGTTAGGGAGGTGTTTCATAGGATTGTTCGTAGCCGAACTGAAGGCCTTGACTCTTTGGGAAGGGGACACAATCCTGAGTAAAAGTCTGTTGTTGGGTTGGGCTGATTTAAACTGTAAGTGTCAAATGTTTGGAACTTACAAATGTGTTTTGATTTTGGCTTTGAGGGAACTCTAGCATCATGAAGAACGAGAAGAGAAGATGAAGAAGGAGAAGAAATGAAGGAGGAGGATTTAAGGTGTGCGCCACAAAAAAAAAAAAAAAAAAAAGAAAGGTAAAGAGGAAAACCATAAAAGATTTTCTTGTATTTATCACAATATATCAATGTAAAGGAAGTAGAATATGGAGTTGGACCTTTGGTCCTGGTGCTGATGTCCAGCTTTGTGTTGTTATTGTATAATCAAATTTCTGAGTAAATTTGCATCTTGATTCTGTAGTTGATTTTGTGCTCAAAATTTTGTCTACTTGTCAATGGTATATTCTTTTTGTGCTTCTTTGTTCATATTCTGAATTTTAGATGCAATAATAAGATGAATGATAGTGAATGAAAGAGTTCTTTTGTTGATAAGCTCTTTGGACGAAGTTGTAAAAATGCAAAATGTTGTATGATGGTTCTAGGAGGAAGAAACTGTCTATTTGCTCTCTTGGGCTTGTAACTAGAATACTCATTGATTGGTCCAAGGAAATCTCCCCCTGTACCTGCGAAAAGGAAGTACTGGGTAGAAGAGAACACTGGTAGATTTTTGGTTCATGTTTTTCATTTTCAGTAATTCAATGAGTGTTTGCAGGTGTCCGTGTGCATGATTTTATTCTCATGTCTTGCATTTTGACTCCTAATGGATTGCACTGCTAAACAGAATCCAGTTTGTTTTGTGTCCCACTGTAAAAGGGATATGGTCTTGTTGAGAAATTTCTGGCATTTAATCTGGATTGAACTCCTTGGTAGCCTTTTCATTTTATGAAAGATTTTTGTCACTTGTCATTTTTTGAATGGAGAAAACTTGGTCAAGCTGTTATATCATGCAAATCATCCCAAGAAGCTGTGTGCTTTACCTTGCTCTTGTGAGCTTCAATTAAGATAATTGATCTCCATTAAAATTCTTGCTTTTGTGCTACCGAGCTGAGCATGGCTTTCTCAATTGACCTTTGCTGGAATGCCCCACCATTGTGGTGGATTTCTTAAGCGTATTAATTTACTCTACCTGCATTATGCTAGTCAAGGAAACATTTAAGGGATAAGAGATTTGGATTGACATCAAGGCTATGTGCAATAGATGAAGTGTTGTTCCCTTTTATTTTTTATATTTATGCAACAGTCTTGTGCTCAATATGATTGCTTCAGTGTAGGCTTCCTGTGTCCCCTATACCACCAAGTTTCTTGCCGCATATTTCATTCAGCATAGCAATCCTACCCCTTAATGCAGTTTAGAGTAACTTTTACCGTGCATGCAGTTTTGTTGCCCATGTATGGCGAGAGTTGCAGGACATTAACTCTCTCTCTCTCTCTCTCTCTCTCTCTGTGCAAGCAGAATTTTATTGTTTTTTTGCAGGTATTGCTTAAAGGCAGATAGGTTCTGTCATCACCCGTTTAAGAGAAGATATGGTAATGATCAGCTTCAAAGATTGAATTTCAGGATGTGGACTGTCCAGGTATGTTATGGATGTTGAAGCCACTTTTAAACATAGCGAGTAATGCAACATGTCAGAATGCGTATGACATGGTTGCTTAATGCGCCAGTCTTTTCTTTGAAATGAGCACATTGGATTGATTGGATCAAAGTTTTCCTATGAAAGTAAGTACAAAATTCCTTTTGGTTGGACTCCAATGCACTTCAACATGCAACTGATTTCTAGTTGAATTTAAGAGCCAAAATCTCTCTCAGCTCATAAATTGGACTGTTGTAGTTTGTTTATGGTCTGTCTATGCATTCTGAGAGAGCTTGTAATTCCATACATGTATTTCTCCTGATAAGGTACCTCGATGTGCTAGTGAAAGTTGAAAAAGGCTGTCAATGCCAACGATTGCTTTGACCGTCAGATCAATGTTGTTATTATTGACTAATTATTGAGAGCATTTACCTTTGCTCATGTTTTCTGGCTGCTAACCGATGTGAATTGGCAAGTTATATTTGCTGTATCCAGTAGAGTCATAATAATTGATTTTTAATGTTCAATTGTATGGTTCAGAGACCAATTCCCCATATTCTCTCTCATAACAACAGCCTCTTACTATTGTTGAAGGAAACCGCGGAGACTCCCCTCTGCCCCATTTCTTGAATTATGCAGCAGTGGCATGGTTGGTGGAAGATAACATCTCCAGGCTCCAGTGATAGCGAATTTAACCCTTTGCTACCTAACAAAAGGATTGGAGACTGAAGGGTATACCTAACAATTTATATTATCATATCGTATGATATATTTTATATAAAAATTATATATAATAATTTATATAAACATAAAAATATAAAATATAATTTTTTAATTTTATTAAATTTATTTATTATTTTTTTAAAATTTTAAAATATTTTATTTTTATTTTTTTATTTGTATTAATTTTATATCGTATTATTGAATCATGTCTCAGTTTTGGAGAGGCTGCCACAACGGCCTATCCTTACAGCACCTCGATGGATGTCATAAACTCTAAAAAGCTTGTTTCTGTTTATTGGCTGGCAATTGAAGTGAGCTTATTGATGTGCACTTTCGAGAACATCTATAGTTGCCAAGTCAGCTATTTTAGCCATTAGGCTTTTCAGGTGAAAATGACTGGGCATAAAGCGACATCAGAAAAACCCACTTGTCCCCCATATCTTTTTCAAATCTTTTTCAAGTTTTTAAAAGTTGAAAAAGATATTTAAACAGAAATATTTTCATCGTATTAATCAAACTCTTTTCTTGACTTTTACCGCAGCGACTCCATTTACTTGTGCAAATGTCTTACTTATAAAACTACAATTATGTCCAAAGATCATATCCACGTTTAGCTTTGCAACCAAACGGTTCTTTTAAGTTTTGGTAGATTTAAGGCAAAATCACTCAATATTTTAGAACTGGGTTTCAGTTTTTGGATCTTTAAAACCCCATTTTTTTCTGGGGAATTTTTTTTTCTTCGCTATGTTTAGCCTTTAACGGTGTAGAGGATGTTTTAAAGCACTGAAATCGTATAATTTTCTTCCCATATGTCCTTAGGCTTTGGCCTAAAAAGTAAAAATAAACGGCTAGATCAATATTTCCTGAGGGCCCTCATACTGGGGCCATTTTTATTTTGAAAAATTTTATTTATATTCTCAATTTTATTTTATACACTCTATTATTAAATGCATTTTAAATTCAAACATAAAATTTTTATTTTTACTATATACACTCTATCTTTTAACAATTAATTTTTTGTATTCTCGATATTTTTTCTTCTTTCTTTCTTCTTTTCTTTTTAATCTCAAACCCAAATTAACCTCAAAATTACATTTTTTTTAGTCTTTCATTCATTAAAAGTAAAATTTTAAGATTTATTTCATTTAATTTGATTTAACTGCATGCCAAAATAAGTTAAAATTTACGAAATAGATTTCACAGCTTATCGAAAAGCTTTTAAAGCTTTTGGAAATTCATTTTCTTTACTAAAAAGCCATTAAGGCTCTGAGGAATCCATTTTTGAAAAATTTTTAAGGCTTTCAAAACTCCATTTTCAAGAAACCTCATTTTTAAAAGTACAACATAAATTTCAAAATTCATTTCCACAAACATATCATAATTTTCAAAAATAGATTTATAAAAATTATGCATTATTCTCGAAAATAAATTTATAAAAATATGAAAAAATCAAATTTGACTAAGTATACGAGAAAGAAGGATAAAAAAAAAAGAAAAGAGAAAGAAGGAGAAGAGGATAAAATTATAATTTATTAAAGAATAAATTTGATATTTGTTTTATGGGTTTTTTTAAAAGAAAATTGATAGGATGTACACAAAAATTTGGGTGGCGTATTTAAAAACCCCCTTCTATTTAGGTAACTAGACCCCCCCCCCCCCCACAGTCGGTTTGATCATTTTTAGTCAATTTTTTAGTTTTACTATATTTATTATTATTTTAATATAAAAATCATAAAAAAAATTTAATACACACAAAGTTTTATAAAAATATTAAAAACTTTTAAAATTTTAAATCTAATATTTAATATGTTATAATAATTGTTTCTATTTTAACTTTTTGCCCTTAGAAGTATGTATTTGATCAATTATATGATTTTTTTAAATTTATCATACATTATAATTCTTTTGACAACAAAGAAAAATAAAAATAGTAAAAATTTATAATTTTTAATAAAATAGTATTATTTTTGATAATTTTTTTCATAAAAATATTTATTTACAAAAAATTAAAGGTCAAATTAAATGAGAAATAAACTATCAATTATTTCTTTTTCTAATTTTCTTTCTTTTTCTGTAATTTTTTATAAAAAAATAAATAAAAATTAATAAGAAAAAAACTTCAAAAATTTATTGAGCTTTTGATTTTTTGAATTAATCCAAAACACTATATAATATTATAGATATTCACAAACCCATGCCTTATTAAAACATCACTTACTAAAAAGCTGAAGACATAAAATAAGGGACCATCAGGAAATTGCCCAATCAATTAAACCCTTTCCCCCTTCCCCAAAGCAAGCTTTGTCAATTAAACCGGAGCTCAATTAAGTAAAACTAGAAAAGCAAACGATACGTTTAGCACCTACTACATAAACTATATTTTTTTTCTTGCATTTGATCATTCAGACTCTCTTTAAACTTCATTTTCTCTCACCCTTTCATCCATCAAACACTTGATACAGATTTCGTTATTGTACTGTCCACCAGACTGTCGTGCTCCACAGTTGATCGGCACTTTCCGATTCTAAATTTCTTTCAAATATTATCTTAAAAATCATCGTGGTCTCCTTTCCCCTTTATCCGATTAGTTTGTACAGAAAAAAGTTTAGAAAACTGTAAATCTAAAACATGATCTCACGATTTCACCACCCCAAAAAATCTATATCCACAACTCAAAATCGCATAAAAGTGAGATGTGTTTCTCTCCTCCCTTGCCTTTTCCTCTTCAAGGATTACCACGTCGTAAGCCACCACTTCCATGTGTTTGGAAATCTTTGGTTGTCGCAAAGATGCTGTTATGCCTAAGGGCTGGTTTGGATGCAACTGCACCCACGGAGAGGTGTAGTTGGCAACCAAAACACACCTGTGTAATCCAAACATAACTCTGATTTGTCATTGGACCTTGATCATTTCGACATTTGTTCTATTATTGCATTAATTGCAATTTAGTCATCCGACTCTCCAACTGATGGTCTATGAATCTTTGCCTACTTACAATCTACGCTTTGATTTGATAGCTAAATTGTAGGGTGTCCAAGCTAGGTTTCTTGGAAGGGAAATAAGAGTTGGCGTTTTGGAAGATATAAATTTTAATTTGTTATGTTAACGTCTATTAGTTAGAATGAAAAAGAGTATGATTTCTTTTAAGCAAGATTTTGATTTTAAATCTTATAAATAAAAAAAAATTTAAGAGAATTTATTTTTTTTATAAGATTTGATCCTATTGAATTTTAAATTAATTAAAATTTAAAATGATTATCAAATATAAAAAAATCTCAAATAAAAATTTTTTTAGTTTGTCACGATCTACGGGCCCAAGATTTTAGATTAAATTATTGACAAAAATAATCAACTGGGAAAGTTACAAGGTTTCCTGACTTTTATCAGATAGGTAATGACAAAAACAACAATATATTTCCTAACAGCACAAATATGATTGTTTACCGAAATATAGACTCAGAACAATCCAGGGTCCTTCAGAAAATTCAAGATTTGAATTTTGAGGGATCAAGAGCTGAGTGTGACTATCAGTTTTAGAGTCTTAAAATAACAAAGATTAGCTTTTTTTTTATGAACATCCATATTAGAATTGAGTTTTTGTGTTGATGAACCTGTTTATCTGGTCTAAGACCAACAATGGCTTTCAGTCATTAGTTTCTATGCCAGCTTGTAAACACCCTGAGATGTTCTTAACAGGTTGAATGATTAAATATGATTGTGATTTTATAAGGCCTTAACAAAGGTATCTTGAAAGGAAGGTAAACCAGAGATTGGTTTGTTTTTTTCTTGATCGGACAAAACCTTGGCTCTCAATAATTTCTTTTGGTTTTTGTTATAAGGTAGCTGTCGCCTGTCAGACACGAAGCTGAAGTTCTACTTCTCCAAAATTCATAAATTTGAAGGAAGTGTGTACCTTTTATCATAACCAGGTTTTGGAAACAACAGGAGTCACATTACTTGTCTGCAGCTCATGGTATCTTGTACTTATAGCATTTGAACATCCTGATTAGATAAAGGATTCTGACAAATGGTTCTGGATTATTAAGGCAAAAGCTGCAAATGATTAATCGTTTCAAATGTTTAAATAGTCGTTGGTCGCTATTGACAAGACAGTAGTCTCAGCCGTGCCTACTTGAGTTGAAGAATTGATCTTTAAAATTGAAATGCCATAGTCGCCTCATTGAGTGGCTCATATTCTTTCTCATAACAGCTGCCTTTTACCTCTTCATTAAAGAGAAATCAATTTCTGTCAGCATCCTCAATATGAAGCAGTGATATAGGAATAACAAGATCTCCTGAGAATGCAAATTTAGCCATTTGCAGGACCACCAAAGACAATGCCAGTGCAATCAGCTTCGTTAGCTGTTCTTACCATCTAAATTTTAATTCCTAAAGGATCTTTTCATTGTATTTGGTGTGAGGGTTAGCTTATAATGAGAAAATGACTGGTATTTTATGGCATTCCAAGAGCCAGACTGAACTTATCTGCAAAACATGTCCCTTTAGCTTCGTTTGACAAAAGTACTTGAGAGGAATGGATATATATTAAAATTAAAAAGAAAAAGAATAGCATTGGAGAAGATTGAAACAAACATGATTAGACAATCGGTATGTATATCAGGAAAACAGGAAGATAAGAATAAGAAGAGGATGATATGGAATCTGGCATTCAATCAAACGTTTTCTAGACCTTAACTTCTGCTGCATCTATTCCATTTTGTCTAGTAATGTTGGCTGTGTTTCTAACAAGTATGAAACAAATGCCAGAAATATTTTTCTACTACCTTATGACTACTAGTTAACAGATTTTCGATGCAATATAATCTCAAATTGGAAATTTCTGTTGTTCTTGTTTGAAGAGGTGATGATTTATACAGAACCACAGGCAATTAGACACAATCACTATAATGCCCTCAATCTCACATTGAAAATTTATGAGAATACAATATAATATATTTGTAAGGTATTTTTTTATTATTTTTAAGTCAAAGCAGATAATATCTCGTAGGTGAAGATAATATCAACTTATAATGAGAAAATGACTGGTATTTTATAGCATTCCTAGAACGTATCTTCATCCTAGCTTCTTTTTTTTTTTTTAATTTCCTCCATTTCCTTATTTTCACGATTTGGAGTCACAATTAATCCCTGGATCTCCCCATCAGACCATTTCATGTCATCGCTCTTCAGTAATAAGAGAGTTTGCTTTGATACATTCTCAGTAAGTTGCCATGGAAAAGGGTATCTTCTTTCATGCCAAGCTCTATACAGTTGCCTTTAACTTGTGCAGAACATTCTCTTTTTTAGACTCCAATAAAGTTTTGCGATTCAGGGTTAAATCTTACCATTTTCAGAGTTCAAACAATGTCAATATACATGCATGCTTACCAGAAAAAAATTAAGATCACAATTATGAATCTGCCTACCTTTGTATAATTGCTCAGTAATGGTTTTTGGTTATTAGTTTTTGGTTCAATTTATGCTTATGACGTAGGCTCATTGAGAGACTCTGAACATGAACCAGCATGAAATTAAACCAGATTTTTATGATTTATTTTCTTCATCAGTTCATTAGCCTATAATATCTGGAACAGCTCTGAATAATTCAGCATTTTGCTGGTAGACATATTGTCACTGAAATGCCTTGATCATTGTTGCACTGACTTTAATGAAGCATTTACTGCAAAAATCCCTAACTTAAGGAAGTTGCTTAACTCAAACTTTTGGAAACACAAGAATTAAATTATCTGGTTTGGACTTTGTTCTCAGAAGTAAGAACCCCATTGATCTAAAATTAAATGTTCCATTTCTTTTAAAAATTTTATTTCAATGTTTCTTTTGCCAGATAAATTTGCAGAGCTTGGGAAATTTTGCACCTACACACAAATTGAAAGACTAAGCATGGCCATCACCTTCTATGCCAAGAATATATGTTTCTTCTGGCACTAATCTCATTGTTCTAATTCTAATTTAAGTTGAAGCATGTGGCCTTGAAATTTAGAGTTAAAGGTATGAACAATGCAACCAATGATCAGATTAAAATCTCAGAAGTCAGAAGGCGACAGTGTTGTCAGTATGCAGCATCAAAGGTTATCGTCAGAATCAAAGGCAAAAATCCTAGAATTTAATCACTTGAAATTTTCGTCTGCTTGATTTAAAATTTGCTTTTTTTTGGTTTACTGTTTTCTTTTTCTTACTTTTCTCATCATAAACTCCTTTTCGAATTATTCAAATAAGATTAGAGGGTATTAATTTCGGTACTTATTTCTAATCTCAATACCATACTCCACTTACTCTTTTATTACTTGTTTGTGATAATGTGCACTTGCACAACAGGATATGAATTTCAGCTAATTTTCAAGATAATGGTCAATTAATGTGGTGGCTGATGCTCTATCCAGGGTAGTTATGCCTCAGCTCAATGCTATTTTTTGTATTCAATAATGATCTACTAGAGAGGATTAAACAATCTCGGCTTCAAGATGCAACCAGCAATTAATTCACAAGGTTCATAAACAGTCAAGGGTCAGATGGCAAGTGTTCTTGGCAAACTGATGGTGGGGTCTGACTCCGAATTAAGGCAGGAGCTGCTCAGGTACTTGAGCAGCTCCTCTGAAGGAGGCCATTCAGGCATTAATGTTACTAGGGAGAGTTTCTGCTGTTGTGTACTGGAAAGGGTTGCAGAGGGCAGTTAGACGATTTGCTAGAGAATGTGCTGTGTCAAATAGATTTGATTAATGAGAAGCTACAGTCTTATAGACAGATCGGATCAGTGGTCAATAGCCATAAAGGCTCCGCCTGAACCTCTCTACCAAGTATTTTGGTCTCTAACAGATTTGTTTAATAAAAAAAGGCGAAAGGAAAATGAAAAAGAAAAGTCAGAAAAACAAGCAATGATCAGTGATTCAAATTAAATTTTGTTGAAGATGGAAAATTAAAAAGAAATGTGAGGAAGAGATAAGAAAAAGTAAAAGTAGAAGAAGTAATCGATTGCATGGCAAAACTAAAGACCAAAAGTGGCAATGATTCCGAAGTAGGGTCTGGGTGCATGCATGACCTTACCATAATCATGGACCTTAAAGCTACTTTACCCTCCAATCACTCAACTTAATTCAATTCTATTCCAAAATATATTTTTAATTTATAACAAATTTAGTCTCTTTTTACAGCGCCAGGAAAGCCACGGAAAATAGAGCCATTGTTGCTGGAAGGAACCCCATCACTGCCTGCAGCAACCACCCAACACATCAAAATAACACCCTCATCATTTTCGTGAATAGAGATACATAGATATACAAATATCACTTTAAAAATAAGTTAAAAATTGAATGCGCTTAAAATTACATTAACAACATCCTTTATATTAATTTAAGTAGCCATGCATTGAGAGAGAGAGAGAGAGAGAAAAAAAAAAACATACCTGTCTTCCATTATCAGAGATGGGCAAAGGGCGAAAAGTAGCAGAATCAACTTCACCAGTAGGCAATGGAACTGCAGGGTTACTGTTGATAAAAGGGAAGCCACCACCTTTATCTGGCACTAGAGTTGGTATTGTTACCGGTGAGCTAGCACTTGGTGCTGGTGAAACCGCCTGGCGAGGCCTGAGTGGCCATAGATAGGCTGGAGAAGATGACACAACTGATCCACCGGAAGTTGGTGCTGGAGCCGCTGCTGGGGGTATTTCAGGCGATGGGGTGGTCGCATTTTCTGAAGGCAACATCGGAGTGACTTTTATGGAGAGCTTTTGAGAGCCTTGGCATGTTTTGAGAGAGCCATTGTTGAAAGTAAAGTAGAAGAAACCAGGGCGAGAAGGGTGCCACTGCACATTGTATAAAGAAAGTTGATTGGAAAATTTGTACTTTTTCTTTTTCTTTCTCAGCCTTGAGGAATCCAAGAAAAGTCACTCAGATGACAGAACTGAAAACAGAACCTTGAAGCTAATTATAATATTTGTAAGAAAAGAAGTGGTTATCATGACCAATTTAGAAGTACCAATTGAAAAAGATTGCAAAGAAAACGCGTCAAAACAAGTAGTTTAAAACCAATATTCCTGAAATAAAAGCTGTTGAATTTTGATAGAGACAGGGAGTGACATACCGCATAGGAGGTGGAGTTGAGTTTGGTGAGAAGTGTAGCTTGGGTGAAATTGCAGAGATTGAAGGCATTTTTGTTCTGGAAAATATAGAGCTTGTACTGATACTTGTGATTGAAAACTGAGGAGATATTAAAAAAAAAAAAGCCGAGGAATAATGTCAGTTGGTAACTAAAAATCTTTAAACTTGTTGGTGTTTTGTTTTAAAGTGCACTTACTTATTGAGTCTCCTACATGAACACTGGGATTTTTCCACTCTGAAACACCATCCACCAGGATTGTTGCGGACTGAGAGGCTAAGAAAAATGGGAAGATGAGAGAAATGAGGAAGATTAACATGGAGAAGATCTTCATGAACTCTTCACTCTTCAGCTTTGCGGTATGTGAAGGGGGAAATGATTAAGGATTTAGCTTAAAGGGCCTTTAGACCTTTGTACTTTCTTTATTTTCTCCCTGGCTTCAGCTCCTTCGAGTGATTTTTTTTTCTACTTTGGTGATTGTTGAGCAAGATAAAAAAAAAAAAAAAGAAAACTTTTGAAAAATGTGTGGAGAAGACTGGAGAGGGAAGGAGGGAATAATGTCAGATGTGTTTGGCTTTTCATTGGCAAGAGTTCGAATGGATGACAGACATGGATGTATTATTGGAGGCTGTGTGGGCTTGTATTATTTTACACAGTATAAGGTAGCATGCTTTTATTTGTGGAAAAAACTGACCTCTTTAACTTAAAAAAGAAAAAGATAAAATAAACAATTGGCCAATGGAATTTGGGATTCCTCTTGTAAAATGATGGGGATTATTATTCTAAAATGATTACTTCAGTGATTATCTTTCTTCTACTTTTTCAAATAATAATTTATAATATATTAAAAATATATTTTATATTTAACTGTATGACATGAATTATGAATAATAATCTTTATAATTTGATAAAAAACAAATATAATATAAATGAATAAATTATTAAATTTATATATTCATATTTAAACTCCTAACAGAAACAAATCTCTTCTTAATAGGAGAGAGGAGACACTTTGTGAAAATCAACCAACAGAATTGTCCAGATTAAAGACTGAAATGAAAGCAAATGATGCAATTTTCTAATTTGGTTAAGAATTCATTCAATTGTCAAAAGGCTAGAAAGTAGTATATTGCATGCCTCAATGTGTTTTGTACTTAGCATCCATGAAAACTACAGCAAAATGATGTGTCAATCTCACAGTGTAGATTGGAGTGTCACCTCTGATCTTGAGACAGTGTATAGTTCCTTCTTTGAGATTGTACTATTAATTAATTGGCTGTGGTCCAGTTTCACTCATTATGGACAAATTAGATGCTTTGTCTATAATCCAGGGAAATATGAATATCCAACTTAATATAGAAAATCCATTTTCAGGTTTCTTGTGTTCCCCTCCCCCCCTTTTGATTTATGCAAAGTCACAAACGGACTGGTATCCGAGATGAGTAACATTAATAACATGTGTAAATTCTGATTATTTTAAATTTAAATTATTAAATTTTAAAATTAAATTAATTTCATTTCAATTGTTTGATTTTAATTTATTTTAAATTTAAATTATTAATTTTTTATTAAATCAAATTAAAACGAATTAAAATTCAAATTAATTTTTAGATTTTGATCAATTCCATCGACTTTAATTTATACTATTAGACACTTGGATCTTTATCATATCTCTACATAAATTATGAAATTTATTCCTTTCATGTTGATCAAAATTATGGTCGAGCAAAACGATTTGTTTGGATGTGCGTCCATTGGAATTGAGAAAAGAAGGTAACTCGAGCTGTCGAGCACACATAATAAAAAAAAAAACAACAACGACAACAAATAAACAAATAAACAAAAGCCGACAAACTACAGCAGCCTTAGTACAGTTTGTGACTTTCGAAGTGGGCCAAACCAATATCAAACTACAAAAGGACTGCAAATACGGTAACGAAGACAAAGATTAAACGACAAATCGACAATGACAAACGCACCTAAACAAAACTACAAGACTATATCTTTTTTTTTTGGGTTAATAAGACTAAAATATTTGCAGAAGATAATAATCAATAAAAACGTACAAGTTACACTAGCAATTGCATGCCACACAAATAAATGTTTTTACATTACCAATTAAGTAATAATAATGTGTTTTCTTAATTGGGTTTTGAGCAAATTATTATATTAAATAATGTATATTTTAACATATTAAAATTTACAATATTAACTATCAACGAATTTTTTGTAAATTTAAAATTTAATTTTTTTCTACAAATCTAAAATTAAAAATTTAATATTTAATTATAATTTTTTTATACCAAAAAATTATTGGTATAAATAATATTTTATCATCTTTAAGCACTCGGTTAACATAATCTTCATCCGTGTAAAATAGCCCAGGGCCCGGCGATTAGAATTGAAAAAGCATCCCAAAGAGGCAAAGACGGAAGAAGCATCAAAATACAGCCTTTTTCAAACACTAGCATCATTCATTCATGCACATAATTTCCAACAATGTAATCAGAAAGCAAAGCTACAATTAATATAAACAGATCACTACTTGTCTTTCTATATTTCTTTCAAGGGGCTGCCTTAAGTTGCCACCACATAAATACACTCCAGAATCCTATGTTCCCAAATGCACATCAGCCGCAGGAGGAACAACCAATCACTAGCTATATAAACCATCTACATTCCTTGGCCACAAATCTTCTATTCAGTAATACGGAAATTTTCCTTCCCTGGTTCAGGCTATAATTCCTTTTCACTTTGTTTACACATGAAGAACCATAACTGTCACCAGCTTGGAATAACTATTCAAAAGAAGATAAATTTAATGGTGTCCTCCCTTTATTAAATTTAATGGTGTCCTCCCTTTATGTTATCTCCTACTTTCCTCCTCCATGTCAGATTAGGTGTTTTCCTTTCCGTCTAACTCACATATCAAGAAAATAATATCTACCATTGCAAAGAACGAACTCTACGGAGCACACGAGGTGGTCTTCGCTGCTCCACTACTGGAACCACCTTCTCCACGAGCTGCAGTACAAATCAACATGATAAGCAACTATTTCAGAACTTAATAGGCCCAACTTATTGCAGTATTCTCTGTCATTCATAACTGCATTTCCCACTCTGGTATTGTTTGAGAACTAAAACAAATACTAAAGCCAAGTTATGCATTTAAACAACAGGTAACCGTTGACTCATTGAACAGTGACAGTCACAAAATTCCTCACCCAGAAATAGATACACTTACCTACAAATTTAGATAAAATTACATTACTTGTTAGAAAGACAAAAAGGAAAAGTTCAAAGTTCTTTGAACATTTTAATTTTAAGAATGTAACAATGAAACTTATAACATTATGGAAACCTCAGGGTTGGGAGCCACACAGTTAGTTTCATGTTTTGCTGCAGAAAGTACAACTGAAAATAATCTTTTAAGATTAGAAACCGATTACTTTATTTCCCTAGATTCATTCATTTCTTAATTTGTTTCCCATGTTTACTCATAAATTTAGGCCACAGCATATTCTAAAGAAAAGCCTCTTGCCTCACTGACTTCAAGGACAAAATCCTCCCACTCTATCGAGAAGCACATTAGTAACGCTCCTTGACAAAATAAAATGCAAGACCAATAGCAAAATGTAGCCCCCAATATGGCAATACCTAAGTCATAGATATCCTTACTTGCCTCCCCTCCCCTGCCATCTCCTGCCCCACCCTTTCATTTCCGTTCTTACTAATTTCAACTTTATTTAACAACAGAATCCTACATATTTAGTGCAAGAGTTTATTCTTAAAACCTTTCCTCTTTAATTTCCTATTAATTATTTTTAGGTTTATTGTCTGTTCCAGCTACAATAAAGATCAAACTATTTCTTTATTTTGACCAATCCCATTGAATCTAATTAACCATTAATCTACAACTTAATTCTGTAATAAAAGCAGCAGTTTATTACCAGCTTAAATCTTTCCTTAGTCCTCTCAGCCTGCAAGTAAACAATATCAATTAGACAAAAATATACACAATAAAAAACTGGTGAAATAAAAAATGTTGCAATGCATTAACATGGAAATACAGTATGGGCAAATAAAAAACTAATAAAATAAAATAAAATGTGAGCATTCGCTTCCTATATAAGATAGTAGTCCTAAAAATTAGATCTTTTGTTGTGTAAAATATAATTTCATGTTGACTAAAAGCTCTCCAATGTGCTAAAGTACACAATCTATTTACAGAACCATATTTGCTAGTGCAAATGCTAATGGAATCCCTTATTCATTTATTTTTCTTGGAAGATCGGAGGTGGAGGGCAGTGTGGTCCCAGCTATAAAGAAACATTGGGTGAACATAAAAGTATGCAATAGCAATCAAAGATCCAATTTAGTGAAGTAAAATGGCTACATACAAAATGACCACTTAGGAGAAAAGAAACCACATGAAAAGCATACAATTAGCAGTCAGCAAGAAAGCAAGCATACACTAGAAAGGGTCGTATGACCCCGCAGATGGAATAAGCAAGAAAATAATTACAATATATGGAAAAATAGACTGCTCAGCTTATTGTATGTTTTAAGTTTATTTACATACAAACTTATTTATAATACATGAAATATGATTAGCAGCCGTAAACCTTAATACACAAAGCTATGTGTCCTGTTGGCTTAGTTCCTCTCATAAATGATCGAAAAATGATTTGTGAGTTAGTTAACAACTAGAAATGTCAGAGAAAACCACAGGATTTCTCCCTTTAGTATTTAGTTTTATCTCACCATTACCATTATCATGTTACTAGACTGTCCAGATACTGTAATAATAGTAATTTATGGACAAGAAAACTCACAACTGTTGTCAATAAATAAAACAGTAATATTAATTAGTTATAAGCTCCAATAAATTTTTTCTTAGCAGCCTACTTTTAACTGAAAATAAAAAGTTTAATGAAAGAATATTTGTAGCTACGAAACAAAGGATAGAAAGAAAGCCTCAAATTTACGCAGTCAGCACTAGGGAATTTAAGCAGTCAGGACTAGGGACCCAGACAATGAAAACAAAAAATATACATGAAACAAGATGGTTAAAGGTAAAACTAAGTTAGTTCCTTCCAAGTGCTTGGTTTAACACCTCATACAAGACATGCATAAGAAGAGCAAGAAATGCCCTGCTTTGGATAAAATATGACTTATGTAATGTGCACAAGTGCAAGATATATCCTGCATTGAAATAAATGTTTCATTTTTAAGTGTGGTATATGTATGCGAGTTTGTCTGGATGCATGTGTGAAAGTGCTTGAATAATTGCCCTTGGCCATATCCTCAGGTAACATAAGACATGGAGACACTGGACGAAATGAGACATAAATGACCATGATTGAGGGAGCCAATACTTAGCCGTATAAATAAAACAACTACCAATGATTGGCTAAATTGGGTGTACGCAACAATCGCAAAATCCAGAGAATTCAAATTCAAGCTATCTTCAGCACCAAACATCGAAGCAGCCTGTATGTTGATACATGCATTTTACAGTGAATTTAATCATGTTAAGCTCTTGAAAATGCTAAATTTGTACATTTGATTACATAAAGCTGTATAGGATGCACCCATATGCCTATATATAGTAAAGGACCAGCTGGACTGTAAACACAATATATAGCAGAAATTTTCATAACTGATAGCAAATAAAGTATATTTTCTATAAAACACTTGACGCTGAAATATGAAGTGAGATTGCTAAGTGCAGGAACACCACAAAATGAGATTATAACTTACAATTAGCCCTAGAACTTATACAGTGAATTGATCGCTAACCAAATCCAACAAAGACTACGGATGGAGAGAGCAAGTAAATTCAAGGGATTACAATGAAACTTGCTCTTGCCAAATGCATCAGGCCACTTATACACACCAACACACACAAACCCCATCTTCCTACTCACACTACTTAATGCAACTCATTACTTCCTAAATGTTTTCGTCTGGTTAAAGTTAAGTGATCAATCATGATTTACACATAACCATATAATGAGTGAAATTTAGAATACGAAAAATATGTGCTTTAATTTTTTTTTTTTTTGGGGGGGGGGGGGGGGGGAGCAATCCCTTATTTCCAAAACAAGTTATGTTTTTGGACTGCTTAACAAATAAGTATAATTATTATCAACTTTGGGAAGTTTGCAAATAAAAGTTGATCCAAATAGGAGCTCCTAGCTCTAATACACAATCCTTTCAATGGCAGGTAATGCTAACGTCTCCTCTACCAGATGAGGTCAATTGCAACTACACTGAGAACAAGCCACAAAGTACTATTTTGAGAAACAAGAAACTTTCCACCTTTAGCAAGTAATTTATAGGAAAAACTACCCGTTCTTGACCATTATTCTAAAATCATAGAACCAAAGGTAATCAAAATTGAAAACAAAATTCAATACCTTTTCTTTCAACAGCCACTCGTTCTCCTCTTCCAGCTTCACTGCTAATGACTCCAATTCAACTTGGTATGCCTACAATTAAGAGAGAAAAATAAAACACCAAATTTTTAAAGAAAAAAAATACATTAACATTGCCATAATTCAATCAAAATAATTCAACCAATTTTAGACCTGCTTCCTTTCCCTAGACCGGGCCGCGGATTCCCTGTTCTTAATCATCCTCCTCTGCCGCTGCTGCGCCGCCTTATCTAGCGGCTCCATCAAAACCTCTCTTCCTCTCTTCGCCCTGCCTCCACCTCCTCCACTTCCAATCACTTCCATCCCGTTCCCCAACCCAACAATTGACCCCTCAATCTTATCAAGAATTTGAAACGAACTCCCACCCACCGGATCAAACGCGTAGACTCCACCACTCAATCTATCCGGATGCACCTTAACCTCCGCCGTTGCTCCGGCCGCCGCTTCCTCCACTGCACTAGCCTTCGCCAAGAAATCCTCCAACGTCATCATCTCGTCGGACGCTTCCTCTTTCATGGTAATCTCTTTCCTCTCGCCAGACACTATTTCCCTCCAAACCTCGTCCACACTTTTCGCCACATTATTATTACAATCCGCGACGGTTTGATCCTGAGAAACTTCGGAATTGTCGGCAACGGCAGTAGGAATCGGAGTGTCCATTAGAGTAATGGAAGCGTCAACCAGAGTCGTCTCCGTCGTGGGCGCGGCTGAGTAAACGTTTCGGAGGATGCCGTCGACCGTCATCGTCGAGCTTAAACTGTTGTTGTTTTGATCGGTGAAAGGTTGGGATTTTGTAGAGGAAGAAGTAGTAGAGCGTCGGGAGAGATCCGGATTTCTCGAATTCGAAGTTGGCATTACTTTCGACGACGCCATATTCGGCCACACTTTTTCTCTTTACCAAGAGATTCAGTCGTAGAAAATTTCAGTCTCCTCGATGTTGTTTTGTCTAGGGTTTGGGATATTTGGGGATTTTGATTTTGTTGAACTTTTTGGGGTTTGTTATTCTGTTGGGATCAGGGAGACTGAAGAGCCCGTGTGAGGCGCTTGGATTATTTTTTCTGAGTTGCCGAAAAGTATTCCGATTGGGAGTGTTTGACTCGGTTTTCTTTAGGGGGAGGAGGGGAGATGCTAGGGTGACGGATTGGTGAGTTTAGGGGACGACTGTGAATTGATTTGACGATTTGATCCTTTTGGATGATGGGAACGTGGTGGGATGCCACTTGCCATGTGATCAACCTGAAGTAACCGTCCGAGTTTATATTGTTTCCCGACTGCAATGATAGTTGAGGAAGGCGCTGTCGCATTCGTTGCATAAATTAAACCTTTTTTCGGTCAAAATTGCTCATAGTATTAGTCTGATTGTAAGCTGAACCTGTCCTGTTTGGGTTTATATCATCGTGGACTGTGATCCACTAAATCTTGGGTCGTCCTGGCAACTGTAAGCATTTTCAGTCCAGGTCAATCAGATTTTTTTTTCTAAATATATATATATATATATTTCTAAATATAAAATCATCGCAAGTAAAAATAATCTAACATATCATCCGCAAACTTCATTAACAAAGCTAAGAGTATTGATCGATACTTTTAAGTAGTGCTAGGACGGGGTATTTAGAGCAGAAATTTTATTTTAATTAAGGTTCTTAAAAGTTTTTAAAATTTTTAATTGTTTGAATAAAAGTAAGAGAAAATTTTAAAATTTTTGTGCAATTTCAATAAAAATCCTTAAATTTTCTTTTGAAATTTCACCTAAATAGATAGTTTTTCAAAATTTTCAAATCTTCCATGTCTTTACCACACATGATTTACCATAAATTACAAAACTAAAAAAATAAATACCATTTTATTTAATTCTAATATATATATTTTTATTTTTATATTATTAATAATATTTATATAGTTTTACAAATCTAATATATTCATATTATATATTTTATTTATACATATATATTTTTTTATCTTTAATATTATAGGAAAAGATTAAGTTACACTAAAAAAGTTTTATATCTTTTTAAAATTATTTTTAACCATTGATTTCAACAAATTCAAGATATGAGATTAAATTTTTTTACTCTCTTCAATTCTTTCTCTCATCTCTTTGATATATTAAAATTAATGATTAAAAAATTATAAAATTTTTTAATTTTACATTGACGTAAGTTGATCTCTCTCCCAATATTATTATTCTTTTATAATTATTTTTATCTCATCATGTTCCAATAGACTATATTTCATTTTAAAAAATATTTATTTAATAAAATAATTACTAATGTCATTTTGAATAAAGATGTTAATTTTATCCTAAACCTAATGAGGAATTCACTTTTTACCCTAATGAGGATGAAGATTGAGCACTAAATTATGGGGATGTGGATGAAAATAAGTATGATTTTAAATTTTTTATCCTATATAGGTACGAAATGGATAAATAGTACATATTACGTACTCGTATCCTATATATATTTATATACATATAATAAATTAATTTTAATTTAACAATATAAAATTTATTTTAAATTAATTAGAATTAATATATTTGTATTTAAAAAATATATTTATAAAAAATTACATAAATGTGTAAGATAAAAATAAAATAATTTTAAAATAATTTTTATTTTTTAATAAGTTATAAGTACAAGATTACCCATATCCATTTAAATATCCACAAAGATAGGGATAAAAATAAATTTGAAATATCAGTTGGTTATGAATACAAGAATGGGTATAACATAAAAAATTATGGATAAAAATGAGAAATACTCTACTTGCCTTATATCATATTCATTGACATCTTTAATTTTAAAATGATACATTCTAAAATGCATTCAATTCAAATTTCTTCGAAAGTTTAAAATTTTTCATCCAAACGTAGTGTTAAAATATATTTATAAAATTAATACTTAATTTTTTTTTTCATAGATACATTTTAAAATGCATTCATTTCAAATTTCTTCAATATGATAAAGTTCTTCATCCAAACATAGTGTTAAAATATATTTATAAAATTAATAATTAAATATATGTTTTGAATGGAAATCTTAAAAACTTGATTGTGAAACAATTTCCCTATATCTTATCATAAAAACTTAATTATAGTTAAAGTTTTCTTCTACAAAAATGATTTAATTAAAAGTTTAATAAAATTGTTAAATTAATAAAATTCAATGTGAAAATTGATAATATGTAAAAAAAAAATTATTAAAAAAATTATTTATAATTTAAATTTAATCAATACTTATTTAATGATAAAAATTTTGTCAAAATTTTTACTAAAAATATTTATTTAAAAGATATATCAAAATTTATTAATTTTTTAAAACTTACACACTTGATTTATGTAATAAAACCTTTCAATTTATTGATTTTAATTTTTTATGTAATTATTTTTAGTAGAAAACTTCATGAATTTCACTTAGGTAGCGTTTAGTATCATTTTTAATATCATTATGTTGATTTAATCATTGACGTAATATTATTATTAGGTAGTGTTTTGTACGAGATAATCACTTCAAAAATCGTGGTGATCTACATGTTTGATAAGCATTCGGTAATCTTATGTGAAGTGATTTGTATAACTAACAATAATCAATTTTATCCATTTAATATATGAGTTAAAAAATGGCTGTATGTTTGAATTATAATTATTTTATATTATAAATTTTTATATTTTCAAACTAATATTCATTATAATGAGTACAAAATAATTTACGTATTTTTAAAATATTTTATATATAATATAATATTTTATTTTTATTATAAATTTAATATATTAGTTTTATTTTCTAATGAAAATATTTTTTTACACAATTTATAGTATAAAATTAATTTACCTATCAATAAATATATTTATTAATTTAATAATTTAATTATATTTTATTCTAAAATAAATAAATTTACTAATATTTTATAAATTATTATCTTTAAACAACCTTAAAATTATTAATTTGTGTAACTATTACAATATGCATTGTTATTTTCTTATTTTTAAATAAAATAATGTTTGATTTTTAGTAATAACAAAAATAGTGATATTTAATTGTTAAAAATTAATAATTATTAACCGAATAAAGTTATTTTAAATTACAAGTATTAAGATCACCTTGGTAATTATATTACCATGGTGATCTTACAAAAGATATCAAATGCTACTTTAAGGTGATTTTATCATTCATGATCTGTAATCACTTTGTTTGATTAAGATTTACTAATTCTTAGTAATTAAAAATCACCGTATTTGGTATTACATAAAAATAAATATTTTTTTATTTGAAAATATAAAAATAACCAAGTACATTATAATAGTTACACAAGTTAATAATTTCAATGTTATTTAAAGATCATAATTTATAAAGTGTTAGTAATATTTTAGTTACTTCATAATAAAATATAATTAAATTATTAAATTAACAATATATTTATTGCTAAATAAACTAATTTTTATAGTATAAATTGTGTAAAAAAATATTTGAATTAAAAAATAAAACTAATTTATTAAAATCAAAACATTATATTATATATAAATTAAAAAATGAAAGAAGTCACACCAAATATTTTTAAATTTGTTACAATAAATATTAGTTTGAAATTATAAAAATTTATAATATAAAATAATTATAATTAATTTTAAAAAGAAATAAAATTTTAATTTACATATTAAATAGGTAATATTAACTATTATTAATTTTACATATCACTTCACTTTGATGATGAAAGTTTCTCACTTTTTTAGATGAAAATTAGATCACCTTCTAAGATAGTAATCTAATTACTCTCGGTAATCCAACATCACCATTTCGTAAAATCACTAAGTGATAATCAAATAAGGTGATCTAATCACCATGCACAAATCACTATGTGTAAATCATGATAATTTTTATTTGGGGAACTGCTAATTAATTCCTTAATTTTTATTTTTTTAATTACCTTATCTTTTTGTACTTCAAAGGTTTATGCCTTTTTTTTTATGCTTTTAATTTACCTTTTCCCTAGTAGTAATAGATATCCTTTTTTTAGTGATCGAACTTTTCTTATTCATCTTTTTGTCATGAATTCATTGCATTTGTCATAAAATTAAAATAATAGTCGATAATGTTCATAACAAACACTGATATTACTTTGGAAAGATTTGAGGAAAATGAAAATAAAAAGAAAGATAAATGAAAAATGAAGAATGAAAAAAGGAGAAAAAATAAAAAATAAGCAAGAAAAGAAACGAAAGGGAAAGCTAGGTGTAGACACCCAATTGGGTCCGGGCCCAGATCAATTGGGCCTGGCCCAAATGGGTAAGGCCCATTTCAATCCTGTATTTTTTTTTTCTTTTTCCTCTTTTGTATTTTATGTATTTTATTATCATTATTATTATTATTATGTATATCTTTGTGTATTTATTTTTATTTAGATTAGATTTATATGTATTTTATTTATACAGTTATATATTATTATTATTATTTTTTGTGTAATATATTTTTGGGTTTATCTTATTTTATTTGTTATTATTTTTTTTAATCATCTGTTAATTCTATCTTCTTTTTCCCGAATTATCTGATATTATTTTTAATTTTTAATTTTTGATTTTCTTTTCTAATTATCTAGTTTTTTATTTTGATTTTGGAGGGCTGAGATTGAAGGCTGAAGAATCCCATTGGAAGTGGGAATTCAATCAGAAGAGTCCAGTGGGATTCAAAGATTGAATTCCCGTCCAAGGAGGAATTGGGATTGATCAGAAACTCCTGATCAATCCCTATATAAAGCACCTCCTGGAACAGTTCAGAAACACAGAAAACAGTAAGCAAAGCTACTGATTTAAGAGAAAAGGAGGCGTATAGGAAGCTAGGAAAAGTTTAGGAGTGTTCTGGGAGTGTGAAAAAATTTTTAGAAATTTTTGGCGAAAATTTTTTCTGGAAATTTCTGGGAAATTTCCAGATTCCGGCGAAAATTCCGGCCAACATTGAAGTTTCCGGCGACCTGCCCAGTTTTCGGCGAAGAATCCCAGAAACTGGCTACTTTCCGGCCAACTTCCGGTGAAATTTCCAGATTCCGGCGAAAATTTCCAGAATCCGACACCGGTGTTCTTCGGTTTCTAGAGAGAAGGGAGAGAAAAAGGAAGAAGAGAGAGAGAGGGGGGAGGAGCGTTCTGCCGAAAAACGGAGGAAGGTGCCTTTTATACCCTCCCAAAACGACGTCGTTTTGGCCTTAAGTAACCCAGAGGATCCGCGCGTTTTGCCTCAACCCGACCCGACCCGGGCGTCGACCCGCTTTCTGACCCGCGCGTGCCAGCCCCCTCCGAGTCGAGCCGAGCCAAGCCAAGCCGCCAAGCCGCTCCCCCCGAGCCGTTTTCCTGCCTTGAGCCGAGCCGAGCCGAGCCGCGATCCGAGCCGCTCCAGGTTTTTTTTTTTTT